ATTCTATTCTATTCTATTCTATTCTATTCTATTCTATTCTATTATTTCTATTCTATTCTATTCCTATTCTTTCATTACTCTATTCCATTCCATACTGTATTCTATTCTATTTTCTATTTGTTATTCCATTCCATTCCATTCTCTATTTCTATTCCATTCCATTCCTACTCTCTATTCTATTGTTTATACCTATTCTATTATCTTTCTTCTATTCTATTCTATTCTATTCTATTCTATTCTATTCTATTCTATTCTATTCTATTCTATTCTATTATTTATATTCTATTCTATTCCTATTCTTTCATTACTCTATTCCATTCTATACTGTATTCTATTCTATTTTCTATTTGTTATTCCATTCCATTCCTATTTTCTATTCTATTCTATTGTTTATACCTATTCTATTATCTTTCTTCTATTCTATTCTATTCTATTCTATTCTATTCTATTCTATTCTATTCTATTCTATTCTATTCTACTCTACTCTACTCTACTCTACTCTACTCTATATTCTCTTCAATCCCCTAAATTCAAGACAACGAAATTGTGTATTTTTGAGAGCTACCACGTCAAAGAGAACGAAAACCATATTTCCCTTCCTGCTGTTGAACGTGTGGGCATGAGATGTGCTGAAGTCGAGATGCTTCATCCAATGATTGTTTACCTGTGAGTAATTACGGGCTGCCTGGGCGCATTGCACTAGCCACAGCCTGGGATCCATCCAGCCCCTCGCTCCCCATTTGGCACTTTGCCTGGGATTCCTCCTCCTCACCAGCCCCCTGCGCTTTCTTTCCAAGTACAGGTAGTCCTCTAATTACAACGGCTCATCTAGTGACTTGTGGCCGTTTTCACACTTACGACCCTCGCAGTGTTCCCCATGGTCACCTGATCAAAATTCAGGCGCTTGGCAACCATCTCATAGTTATGACGGTCTTAAGCGTTCGCGGCGGTCATGCAGTCCCGTTTTGCGACCTTGTGACAGGCAAAATCCACCGGGGGGGGAGGGGGAGAGCCGGATTCAGCTCATCACCGTGCGACTTAACAATGGCAGTGGTTCACTTAACAACGGGGGGGGGGGGGTAGAAAGTTTGTGAAATGGGGCAAAATTTGGTTCTTGACAATTCTCTCGCTTCGCAGCACCAAAGGTTGGGCTCAGTGGTGCAGGGGTGGGATTCCAATTTTTTTTTACTACCGGTTCAGTGGGCGGGGCTTGGTGGGCGGGGCTTGGTGGGCGTGGCAGGGGAAGGTTACTGCAACATCCCCCTTCCCTCCCCTCCCCACTAACCTGCTTTCCAGCTCTGTTCTCCTGGGCAGGATCAGCTGGGACTCAGGGGGAGGCAGAGAATAGATGGGGTTGGCGGGGCCAGTCAGAGGCGGTATTGGGACGGTTCTCCCAACGACTCAAACTTTCTACTATTGATTCTCCAGAATTGGTCGGAACCAGCTGAAGACCACCGCTGCAGTGGTGGTCGTAAGTCGGGGGTGGCCTGTACAGACCGGAACCCAAGCTCTTCCATCAGCGGCTTTGCATCAGCTGGCGAGACCCTGGATGGACAGCTAGCAAGCCAACCGACGGCTGATTTGGAGACAATTCACAGGCAAGCATTGCTTATTTAACAAGGTGTTTAACCAGCAGGGTGTAACCTACAGAGATGTTTTTTTCCCCCACCCACACAAATGTCTCAAAAATAGTCCTTTTTTCCCCCAGGACCCAATTATCTCAGCAGTTTTGGATGGATTTCTGCACCTCTGCAGACGGCTGGACAAAGAGCAGGCGGGTCCTTAGACACGTGTAGCATTTTGGTACCTACTAAGAGACAAAGGGGTGCACAGTGGCTAAGACGCTGAGCTTGTCAATCAGAAAGGGTTCTGCAGTTCGAATCCCCAGCGCCACATAACGGAGTGAGCTCCCATTACTTATCCCAGCTTCTGCCAATCTAGCAGTTCGAAAACATGTAAAAAATGCAAGCAGGAAAATAGGGACCCCTTTGGTGGGAAGGGAACAATGTTCGGTGCATCTTCAGCATTTAGTCCTTCCGGCCACATGACCACGGAGACATCTTCGGACAGCGCTGGCTCTTCTTGGGCTTTGTGACAGAGAGGAGCACCATCCCGCAGAGCCGGAAATGTCTAGCACAGATGTGCGAAGGGAACCTTTACCTTAAGAGAAAGAGGGAGAAATGCATGTCGCACACTGCAATTTCCCTCTTTTCCATATTCTGGGAGAGTTGGAGATTTATTTTTTTTTAAACTATGGTTTTTGACTTTAAAGTGCATTCAACCGATTTTAATCCATGCGGGCCTTTGCGAACGGTGTCCCGGCACTGGCCATTTTCAGTTAGTGTGAAATGTACTGAATTTGGGAAATTGGAAACCTCGGTGTTTAGGTGGGAGTTCTTTCTGGCTTTCTTGGTTCACGAGCGAGAGGGGGGGTGGGGGCTGTTCGTGGAAGGCCCCATGTGAGCTCCCTGGTCAAGTTTGAAGACAAAAACGTCGAGAGAGAAACGACAACCTTTTCGGACACCACACACAGTTCCAGATTTGTTCGGAAGCAATGCCAACGGGCTGCTGGAGAAGGATTTAATTCTTCAGTCTTGCTTTGGCTCGTTTGGTTCAAAATGGCCCAAATTTGAAATCCCCATCCCTCCCTCCCTCCCTCCCTCCCTTCCTTCCTTCCTTCCTTCCTCCCTTCCTTCCCCCTTGTTTTCCAAAAGTCACAGATGTTCCCCATGCCTTTGTTGTCTTGCTAAAGTGCTACTTGGAAGGAAAGACTGATCTGGAACACAAGAGATGGAAGGAAACCACAGGGACTGTTGGCTTGTAAAACATGGCTGGGCTTTAGCGGATGCAAGCAACGACCAACCCCAACAGTTCCTCCAAAGAAACCCCCGTACCCCACAGCCCCGTCCCCCTAAAACTTGTGATAAGGTGTGAGAATGTGGAGAGTCTGTCTCCAAATGGCATCCGAGCAAGGAAGACCAAAGGCCCAGCTGCAGAGGAAATAAATCCCCGTTTTTCTCCGCCTCTTTCCCACAAACATGACTAGATTTAGGGCAGAGAGGGGGCCATTCTCAAGAGACCGCTCTCCAGAGGGAGAAGAGAGCCGTTTGAACACACTCTTTCTCGAGCAGCTTCCGTGTGCGTTGTACGGATCGTGTCCCGGCGACGGGAGTTGGCATTCAACCTCCTCTTGATTGAGGAAAAAAGGGGAGAAATTATTTGGGCGCCACGAGCTCGGGGCCAAACGCGCAAGTCAATCGAGTTGGATAGCATCCTCCAGAAGCTCCGGACTACAACTCCCATCCCAGAGCCTCTGGCCAACAGCCCTTCCTGGATGCTGTGATGGAAACCGAGGTCCGGTACCCCCGAGGACCACAAATCTGGTTTGGAGGTTGCCTTTCCAAAATACATTCAAGATCTTCCATGTTACCGGAAGCCATGAAGGAAGCTTCAGAGCCAAGATTGTTCAGGTAGGATTTCAACAGGGGTTACGGCAGTTTCTCTTCACCCTCTTTGCCCACAGAGTCCACAGAGAAGAAAGTTTAAACTCTGTTCTGGTCAAAGTTCATAATACTGCTGAACAAGGTTTCTCCTCAGTCTGGCACATATATATATATATATGTATATTTACACACACACGGTCCCTTCCCATGTTCCTAAGTGGCACGCCGAGGGACATGGCAAGAAAGCCCGCCTCCTGCCCAGTTGTGGGCAATGATCTCAAAAGCCAAGGGCCGGGGAGATGCCCTCCCTTCCTGTTGGCCACCTTCCACTTCACCACCCCCAAATCTGGAACTGGCAGAATCTTCCACCGGGGAATTACAAAAACGGTTCCCTTCACCAGCTGGCGACGGTGACGCCATCTTGGCAGGAAAAGGGGCTTTGGGCTCTCTTTTCTTCTTCGTCCTTCCGATTCCCAAATCCAGACAGGCGTCCCCACCCACAGCAAGCCCCCACCCCCTGGATTCTGTGCCTCAGTTTCCCCACTTTCGCCCACCGGAACAGGGAGGGAGAGGAAAGAGAAAGAGAAGAGAGAAGCGGGGAGAGCAACGGAGGAGTTTGGGGGGGCTTCGGGCGGGAGTTCAGTCATACTCCGGGCGGGCGTGGAGCTTGGCAGCCTCGCCTGCGGGGAGGTGGATGAAGGGGCCGTCGGGATGGGGGCGTTCTTCGAGGTTCAGGTACTCCGGCTGGCCTAACTCGCACGCTTGGCAGCTGCAGTGCAAGATTTTTTCCACCAGTTTGTCCACACGGGAGCTGTATTCGTTGTGGGGACAGTCCAGCGAGACCTGGAAAAAAAAAGAGGAGGCAGGATGAGGAGGTGTGTAGCAGGCCCCCAAATTCTTGGGAATGGGCTCGGAAGGAAGAAGCCCCCTTCCTCTCCTAGGAGGTGCCCCAAACCTGACTTTAAAATCACCCAATTCTCTACAAAATGTGGGTTGTTTTGTTTGCTTCTGCTTAGTCTACTCTAGCTGGGATTTTCCTACGCCCCTTAGCGCGCCTGACCACCCTCTCTCTCCGCGTCCCTATCAGTGGTGGGATTCAAATTTTTTTATTGCCAATTCAGTGGGCGTGGCTTGGTGGGCGTGGCAGGGGAAGGATACTGCAAAATCTCCCATTTCCCTCCCCACCCCACTAACCTGCTTTCCAGCTCCGTTCTCCTGGGCAGGGCAACCCAAGGAGACACAGCCGTTCAGCTGGGACTCAATGGGAGGCGGAGAATAGAGGGGGTCATCGGGGCCAGTCGGAGGTGGTTCTTTTGCCGGTTCTCTGGGCTACTCAAAATTTCCGCTACCGGTTCTGGAGAACCGGTCAGAACCGGCTGAATATCCACCTCTGATCCATAAAGGGAAGGACTGTGTTGCTGCAAATGGGCACCCCGCGTGCAATCCACACCCTTATCCCAGGGCAAAGCGCAGAGACTCACGATATCCCACTGGATGTTCGAGGGCATGCAGGAGTCGCAATGCACCAGGGACTCCGTCGACCGCGGCAAAGTGTTGGGGACGCTGTAGCTGAAGCACTGGCCCATGCAGGCTCTGGGAGAGGAGGAAGAAGGAATTAGGGCAGCGGTTCCCAAATTTTTTCAGTCCACCGCCCCCTTGGAGCTACAAACTCATTCCTCGGTGCCGCCCACCCAGGGGCGGGATTCAAATTTCTGTGAGCGTGGCCTAATTTGAGGGCGTGGCTTGCTGGTCACGTGACTTGGTGGGCATGGCTTGCTGGTCATGTGACTTGGTAGGCGTGGCTTGAGGGGTGTGGCTTGCTGGTCACATGACCGGGTAGGTGTGATTTGGTAGTCATGTGACTGGGTGGGCGTGGCCAGGTAACTGGCCAACCAAATACAAGTGGTCCTCACTTAATGGCCAGTTGTTTAGCAAGTGTTCTAATTTATGACTGGCCTCCCCAGAGCTACTTGACCTGTTTTTAGAGTTTTGACAGCCATGCACACACACACACACACACACACACCCTTCAAATCCTGCTGGAGCAGGTCATTGCACTAGAAACGGCAAAGCATCTCTGATTAGAGTCCAGTAGTGAATAGAATCTAATCAGAGATGCTTTGCCGATTCTTGTTGATTTGTTTTACTTGTATTTCTTTATTTTATGTTGCTGAATTGCATTGATATGTGTGTCCCTTCTTGTGCCCAGCCCAGAAGCTGTTGTGATTCTTTGCAGCAAAAACTACCGACCTCTGGCTTTGCTCTACGTTTCAAACATGCCGCCATTGCTGCGTTGGGGTTATGTTTTGGTGGAACTCGGTGTCCTGGGTCTGCCTGATGCCCACAGGGGGCCCCATTTGGAGGGGAAAGTTTGGCACAGAAGGAAGAGCTCCAACTCTTCGGCTTTTTAAAAGATTCCCGGCACCACCAGACCCCCCAGCACGGGTGGGCTAATGTGGGCATCCTTCCCAAGGAAAGCCAACAGGAATTGCTGTCCAAATTTGCATAGAATAACAGAGTTGGAAGGGACCTTGTAGGTCATCTAGTCCAACCCCCCTGCCCAAGCAGGAGACCGTACACCTCTGATGGCGAACTTATGGCACGCATGCCACAGGTGGCACGCAGATCTATTTGTGTGGGCAGCTGATTTTCAGGCCTTTTCGGCCTTCCTGTGAAACACGCCCATTTTTCGTCCTGCAGAGGCTGCAGAGGTTTCCTTCAAGCCTCTGAGAGGCCGAAAAAGGCCTCAAATGGACCCAAAATCAGCTGGGAGGTGCAGTGCAGATAACGGGGCGGTGGGGGGATCGGGCACGCATGTGCAGGGGGCGTGGGAGGGCTGTGCATATTGCCTTCTGAGTGCTGGTGCGCAAGCGTGCAAGCACACAATTTTTGGCACAGGAGCCCCCAAAAGTTAGCCACCACTGCCCTATAACATGTTTACAATTATAAGTATGCTAGTACAATTAATACGATCCTAAATAAGCTAATATAATTACAAATACTGTTATAATTATTACATGCATTATTATCGCTATCAGTCCACCTGTTGTTTTCTTCCTTTGTAAATCGAAGTGCCTTCACAATACGCTGCTTTCAAAGTATTTATTGATATATAAATTAAAAAAAAACTTGACTTCAAAAGAGAAAAGACGGTGGAATCAGGAGGCTGAGAGTGGAGAGGCCATACCTGTTTTGGATGGATTTAGAATTGCATCCGGTGTGTCCGATAATCTGGGTGATGTTCTTGGCCTCGCACCAGGCGTTCTTGTCCGGAAACAGGGCGAGTTTGTTAATGTGAGACGGGGCAGATAAACTCAGGCAGGGGAGGAACGCGCTCAGCAGAAGCCTCAGCATCCTGGCTTGCCTGGAAGTGGGTTCAAAAGAAGCTTTTTTAAATGGTCGGAAAAGAACATTTTCCCCCCTCCCCTCTGTTCCTCTCTCAAAGTTCCCAGGCTATACATTTCCGACTCTGCGTAGGACTTAACGGCCACCAGTCAGCCCAACATTTCCGTTGCTGAGCGAGACGGTGGCTACGTGAGTTGTGTGCCCTGTTTTAAGACCTTCCGTGCCACCGTTGTTAAGCGAATCACTGCATTTGTTAAGCTAGTAATCAGATTCAAGAAGAGATTGGACTGCCACCTGACAGGAAGGGTGTAGGGTCTCTCCTGCTTGGGTGGGGTGGGGGGGGGGGTTGGACTAGATGACCTCCAAGACCCCCTTCCAACTCTGTTAAAATCTGTAATCAGGTTGTTAAAGGAATCTGACTTCCCCATTGACTTCTGCCTGCCAGAAGGTCCCCAAAGGGGATCACGTGACCCCCGGGGAATGCTGCGACCGTCATAAATACGAATCAGTTTCCTGAGCATCCAAATTTTGATCACGTGACCTTTGAGAATGCTGCAATGGTCATTAGTGTGAAAAACGGTCATAAGTCCGTTTTCTTGGGTCTGCTGTAACTTTCAACAGTCACTGAATGAATTGTTGTAAATCGAGGGCTATGTGTATACAAAAAATCCACCAAACCTCAAGACTATTCTATTTCTTTTTTAAAAAAATCCTTCCACATTTCTAAAGAGAGATTCTTCAGTCTCTTGTTGAGAACTGGAATTGTTTTTAAAAGAGAAAGAGAGATTGCAGTCCATAATGAGTTTGCATTTCTGCATCTGAAGACATTCTGCATAAATCAAACACTCTGCTAAGCAGCTTATCTAGGAGTAAAAATGCACTCTCCTAAAACAGTGTAAATAAAATAGATGCAATACACAAAAAATGACATTTTTAAAAAAATAAAAAATAAAGCAATAAGACTATTTTTTTAAAAAAATAGAAGGGCGTTCTGTAGGTTTTCTTGAAGGCAGGTAGAATTTTAAAAGGAAGCCACAACAAATCATTCCAGGAATGGGTTTAAACGAGCAGAAGTAAGTTGTGTGACTGAAATAGAATTTTATATTATAATTCAAAATTCTTATATAGCTAAGTGTGAGAAAAAGACTGCAATTTAGCATATGGCCAGCAGGTGTCACTGCAAGGAAAGGCAAATGGATAAAATCTAGTTTTATGGATTTATTTATTTTTTGCAAAGTTTGCTTTTAAAAAAGTAAAGATAAAGAAAACAAAAGTAAAAACTACAAATTCTGTGTTGTCTTCCTGGAAATATCCATGTTGTTTTCTCAGCAAAAATGTAGGTTAGGTTATTCCAAGAGGTCTCCAAACTTGGCAACTTTAAGACTTGTGGACTTCTTCGACTCCCAGAATTAAAGTTGCCAAGTTTGAGGACTCCTGGGTTATTATTCTGTGAAATTTGACTTCCCAAACTACCAGATTTCCTGGTGGTGACTTGTCTAAGGAAAATCTCGGCCACGCCCTTTCCTTTAGCAACTTGTTCTGGGTCTGTGAACATTTTTCCGCTGAATGCTTCATCTCAAAAAGTCTGGGAAGTTGGTAAGTGGTGCAGGATTGCCCTACCTATTAGAGAGAAATTGGGCTTCGAAGCCAAAGATGTTATCTACATTTTATCCTTAGGCGGAGTTAAATATTTCCAAACTTTTTCACCGCCTCCTGCTATTATTTGACATTATTTCCATGATGAGCAATGTTCTGTTCATGACAATACTCCCACAAGTTTTGAAAAAGCCTTAAGCAAGATCGGTTTAAGTTGTCATTATTTGCCTGGGACAATTGCCCACAGAATGGAGTTGCTGATTGGGTGCTATAAATATTTTCCTATTTTCCTCTATATGGCTGCCATTTACAGATGTGAAGTCAAGCAAGATCCAGAACCAGACTAAATCCAGCAATCGATGTTTATCTGGAGAAGGAATTCAGAATTATTGTAGATATCCTAGGTGAGTTGGTAATTTGTAATGCAGCTTGTGAAAACTGATGCATTTTAATAAAAGGAAATGCTCTAGCAAACTCCTTCTGGAGTGATGGTGGTGATCTAAAATTGAGCTGATTCTTAAGTGGACTGATCTGGAAAAAAAATCTGGTTTGAATGGTGGATCACAAGGAAATGGGCAAAGATTTGGGGTAGAATAGTGCTTTGCAGGAAGCATCCCTGGAGGAGGATTGAATAAATGAAATTCAAGGGTGCAAAAAGTAAGATTCTACATTTAGGCAAGAAAACCAAAATGCCACAGGTACAGCCTAGGTGGTACCTCGCTCAATAGTAGTAACGGTGAGAGAGACCTTGGAGTCCTAGTGGACAACCACTTAAATCTGAGCCAGCCGTGTGCAGCTGCCAAAAAAGCCAACGCGGTTCTAGGCTGCAGAAACAGAGGGATAGAATCAAGATCACATGAAGTGTTCCTAATAATATAACTTTATAAGGTAAGGCCGCCCTTGGAAGACTGAATTCAGTTTTGGTCGCCACAATGTAAAAAAGAGGTTGAGGCTCTAGAACGAGTGCAGAGGAGAGCAACAAAGAGGATTAGGAGGCTAAAACATATGAAGAATGGTTGGGTATGTCTAGTGATTAATGAAAAGAAGGACCAGGGCAGACAGGATAGCAGTCTTCCAACATCTCAGGGGCTGCCCCAAAGAAGAGGGAGTCAAGCTATTCTCCAGAGCACCTGAGAAGGCAGGACAAGAAGCAATAAATGGATGGAAACTAACCAGGGAGAGAAGCAACTCAGAACCAAGGAGGAATTTCCTGATAGTTAGAACAATTAACCAGTGGAACAACTTGCACCTAGAAGCTCTGAATGCTCCAACATTGGAAGTTTTTAAAATGATGTTGGATAACCCTTTGTCTGAAGTGGTGTAGGGTTTCCTGCCTAGGCAGGGGGTCGGACTAGAAGACCTCCAAGGTCCCTTCCAACTGTGTCTATTCTATTCTATTCTATTCTATTCTATTCTATTCTATTCTATTCTATTCTATTCTACTCTACTCTACTCTACTCTATTCTAAATGCTTTTAAGAAAAACTTGGGGATGTCTCTGTGAAGTCACCAGGAACTGAGCTTATCTCAAGGGAGGCTCTGATTTAATTTATGTAAAGAGAAAGAAAATTTGCCTCGTTATTAAAAAGAAAACCATAGGAAAACAAAGGCGCTCAACAGATCACGCTGGCTGGCGAATCAGTGTGATTTCAGGAAATCAGACAAGATGGCTTAACCAGAAGATGATTAACAGGTAGACAGACAGGCTCGTGCGCACGTATCTCTAAAGTCTTCCTTCGGATAATAACTCGCCTCTAATACATTGTGTAAGGCATGCATGCTGCAATTGTGATGGAATAAATGGAGTCCCCCCGTGGGGAACCCATTCAGCATATTTACATCTTTTTAATTTATTGCTCTGTCCTTCCTAGCCTCTTCCCCGAACATTTGGAAAAGACGTAATTCTGCTTTGGGAGTTGAGCAAGGTCTCTTTCTCTCTCTCTCTCTCTCTCTCTCTCCTCCTGAGGGTGGGGACAGAGGGCAGCCTGCCAAGCGAAACGAAATGAGGGCAAAGATTAAAGGTGCCAACAAGGGAAGTTAAAGTAGCACCGAACATTTCGTAGTGTAGATTGTATCCAGAGTGCATGGAAGATTTTTGTAGGAGCATTTTGCTTTTTTTTTTTTTTTGTGGGGGGAGGAAGTACAGCCGCACCGATTTGTAACTCGGTGAGAACTAATAATGATTCGCTCAACAACATATCAATTGTATTATTTGCACAAATCTTAAGTGTACAAAGCTAGAGAAGAACCAATCCCTCTTTCTTTCTTTCTTTCTTTCTTTCTTTCTTTCTTTCTTTCTTTCTTTCTTTCTTTTTCTTTCTTTCTGTCTCTCTTTCATTCTTTTTCTTTCTTTCTCTTTCTTTCTTTCTTTCTTTCTTTCTTTCTTTCTTTCTTTCTTTCTTTCTTTTTGTCTCTCATTCTTTTTCTTTCTTTCTCTTTCTGTCTTTCTTTTGTTCTTTCTCTCTCTCTCTCTTTCTTTCTTTCCTCCTCCTCCCTCTTTCTTTCTTTCTTTTTCTTTCTTTCATTCATTCCTCCTCCTCCCTCTTTCTTTCTTTCTTTCTTTCTTTCTTTCTTTCTTTCTTTCTTTCTTTTTTTTTCT